TATGACATCACTTGCTCGTTTATGACATCACGACTGATTATGATGTCACGTTTTACTTAGGGCGTCACTTTTTGACCCAAAATACTCCTCTTCATTGAGAACATTCAATTTTTCTTGAATCATTTAATAGAATAGAAACAGTTCATTACGCTGTACGTAAATGGTATTTACACAAAGGGATGCGCGTTAAGCATAAATTTTACGTGGCGCCGGCTATAAACAGACTCGCCTATTTCGTGCGAAAATTGTCCATATTAAGCCGTTATTAAGCCTATAATAAGGGTATAAATGGGGTCACATTTAGACACTTCCAAGACACGATTATGTGGAATAGGCGACGATAAAAAAAACATTAAATTCTAATTATATATTGTTCAAAGTTATTGTGGAATAGGTATGTAAATGACTTTTATTTCACAGTTTTTCACAGGTTACTCACAGAATACCTAATATTAAAGGATGCAAATCTAAGTGATGAGATGATACAAACAGGCAACTTTCAAATGATGTATAAGTTGTCCAAAGAATCTTAAAACAATTTCAAAAGTGCAAATTTAATAAATCGATATCATCTGTTGTTTTGGCAATCACAGATTTATTAAATGAAGTAAAAATACTTGAACAATTAGTGATTTAAAAAACAACAAACCTGGTTAAAATATATTGGGAACAGACTTCATAGCAAAATTGAAATTGCAAAGGGACATAATGGACGCCCTGCTACTGTATTACTTTCCCATTGAATAAATGTGAAATTTCCAATTCTTTATAATACAAATGAATTAGAAATGATATCGTTATCAAGAATGCGTAAATGTCAATATTTTCAGAATTTACACAATACTAGCTGACGTTCTAAATAGCACAGTGGCGTGATAAAGTCTTACATTGCGTGGCGAATAACAGCATTAAAAATTCTGGTAGTTGATCACGTTTCTATTTCTGGAATAGTTAGGTTCATTCGGAAGTTTTATGCAATGTGAAAGACCCTAAAGTCGGCCAGCTATATAACTCAGATGAGAGATGTATTGTAAAAGAATTTTATATAACTTTTATGCTTGAAAGGAGTGTACCTCGGTTATGACCAAAATGAGTAATCACATTTCGTGTGATGCTCACTATGCTACCCTATATAATTGGCACATTGACCCCAATAGCGTGCCTCAAGGTGTTTACATACAGTAGCAAAAATGCGCGTAAGGGTGAAAATAGCGAGTCATGTTTTTAACAGGAATTAGCATCAAATCGTGTTTGTGTGGTTATGTTCGGGCAGATGGAGTATTCTCATGAGTTTTTGCGAGAAAATCTTGTGGGTGAACCACTAATATTATCTGACTTTTTAATCATACTCTAACATGACATTTCTCAAACTGGGAGTAATCCTTACCCACAGAGAGGTATTTTGTCGTTCTTGAGGGGATTTTGCTTCGTATTTGCTGTTGTACAACTAAAATTGTTTAGTTCGTCATTACTGTATATAATATTTATTTATGCAAACCTTACAAACATTTAAAACAGGTGTCGTAGCTCGTTGACCAACATTGATTTTTTCGCGTCACCCTTCGCCATGATATGTCATTTTCATGTGTTTTTCTTAGTTTTTGTTTGCAACAAGTGTATTTTTATTTTGGTGAAATATAAACAAATGACTGATATGCACAAACCACCAGCAAAATCTGACTTTCAAGGAATACACTAACGCTGATATCTAACTTGATCTCAACTGTTCTCTTGTTCACCCCTTTAATCCACAAGAATTTTGGCCAGTGGTTCCTAACCTTTTGTTTAAATAACAAGCGACCCAAGAAAAATTTCAGGCGTCCGAATTTTGGGTCGCCACAGGCTGGGAAACACTGCTCTATACAACCTAATACTATGTATAGAATGATCCATTTGATTGGCTTTGATTTCGGGAAATGTTCAAAGATATTGGAATAACCTTATCAATCGCAAAATGTTTATTTTTACTAATTGGTGATCAAAAAGCAAAATTTTGAGAAAAACTTCAGAATTCAATTTCCGAACATTTTGAGCTCAAAAACCTAATATACTATACGTGAAGTATGAAATGGAGCGCACATTAATAGAGAAAAACCAGCTAAGAAGCCCAGTCATGCAGCCAACCTAAAAATACACAAAAAATATTTATCTGGGGTCTGGCCATAGATAGATTGGTCATATCCACTTTATAAAACCAGACTCGCCGAGTTGCCATACCGAGATAGGATTAGCGAAACCATTTCTTCACACGCAAGAGGTCGCACCTGGTATGAATTTGTTTTGATAAAGCGAAGCCGGTTTCACGAAGCCGAAAATTTAAGACTTGACTCGTAATTTGTAGTGCACTGCAAAAAAAAATCAGTCAACCTCACTTTAAATGGACTGTAAATTTGGGCGAAAGGGATATATATATTTTCCAAACTGAAATCATTGAAATAAAACGCCTATGATCAATGCTAAAATATTTTGTACTCCTTATTTTAGTTCTTTCGCGAGTTTGGGGACTCTCTGTGTTAGCCAGGCGAATTTACCCCCTACTCATGGGTTTCAGCCCCTTTACCTAACTTGATGTAAAGTAGACGAACAAAATTAGTTTTCTCCATATTGGTACACATACTTCTGAAGCGCCATTTTTGTCTATTATCTTACCCGACCTGGACTCGTAATCAGGCGAAACATATGGTGAGAACTGTTTCAACATTTTTCCTATCTCGCGATAATTTAGAAAACCTTAATATCACATCAATGACCAATTAATGTCCCCTCCCTTCATTCTTACACAGAAAAATTTCCAAATACTTTTTATAAAAAACGCTCCGTTACAACATTTAATAGTAGTTTCTGTTACAAAAATTGTTCCACGATCTGAATAAATTGGAGATTTAAGTTCAAAGAAAACACAATTCCAAGGATTATTCCTAAGAAACCTAAAATCTTCTCGCAGCTTAGGAATATATTACTTTCTTTCGCCGCTTTGTTTATTTTATTTGTTTATACATTTGGAGGCGTTAGGACAGTTATGAGGAAAACCGATAATACATTCAATGGTACACAATGGTAAACGATTACAATATTAATTGCACGAATTTTTTGGTATTTGGTTGTATTATAAGAGGAACGACTTTCTTCTTAATAACGAAACTCATTAATTACCTTGGGCAGGTGACGTCTACTCAATCCGGATTCTCAAATTAATTAGGAGAAGTTAAGTCATTTATTAATATTTTATAGATTATGATAAATGATTTAAGTATTGAAATTAACCAGAATAATCAATAGTATTTCATAGTAAAGATTGTAAAAGGTGAGTAATATTATAACTAAGTTTTAGAATACATTTAGAAGCGTTTTTCAAGCTTGAATATTAAACAAAATTATAAATTTTGTCATGTTGAAGAGGACAATTGCACCAACCTTTGTGTTTAATGAGAAACCATTTTTAAAGTGCACAAATCTAAAATGAGTTAAAGTTATGAAGTTTTAAATTTGAGTGACTTGAAATGCCTAAATTTTAAAATCCATGACAATATTACATAATAAACATTAAAGCATTCCCAACTTCACGAAAATCTCCCTTTGGACTCACGCTTCATTTCAAATACGCTAAGATTACAGTAAATGCATTAATTTTAAATATTCTTGACACAGTATCTACGTTAGACATATGCGTAAGATTAAAGGCGTATACGTACTTTTGTAATTGTCTATTTCCCGTGTATTATCAACTGTTCAAATTTAGTATAATTATTCCACCTCGATTAATTTTCAACAATGGCGATTGTATAGTGGTTAGACCAGTGTTTCTTGAGAATTCTTGAAATGAGCCATGAGTGTTTTTGAGCCTACAGTCACTCCCAAAGAATATGTTTGGTCTGGAATTGAACCAAGGTTTGGAAGTTCAGTTTGACAAGTTGATAAATAGATTAAGGACTACTTTGGTCATTGACGCATTTACTGTTTTGTTTATAGCACTAAGAAATTTGATACTTGAAAATTTCTAAGATTTTTTGGGCCTAAGATTTCTTTAGGCGCTGAAATTCGGGCAAAGAAGAATGAAAGCTAGAAACCACCAAGTTAGATGAATGAATCTAACTATATAGGCGTCCAAGGATAAACATATTGAATCTTTTGTGCAAAGCCCCAGCTAAATGAAACTCCCCGCCACCGCTCGGAATAAAAAAATAATAATTATCCAGTTATAGGATGTTTGGGCTAGAAATGCGGATTGCGTTGGAAATTCAAAATTTCAAATCATTACTGATTTGATTCCTAATCCGCACTGAATAATTACTAAAACGGGGGGGGGGGGGGGGGGGGAGGATTATTCAAATCTCCCATTTTTGCATTAGTGGCGCGCGCTTTGTACAAACGATCCAAAATATTAACCTCAAACATCATTCCCATAACCCTTACAAAACTAAAAAGATAAATGAAGAATTTTATAAACATACATTCGAGACAAAAATGCGTCTTGAGATATTGATATTGTCTTTAGATTTGGTTTGTAAAAACATGCTTTTGCGCTGTTGCCTATGAAACAATCCAAATGTTTATGGTATAGGGGAGCTGAAAGCGAAATAAAACCAATAATTCCTAACGCATAACGTTCCAACGAAATTAGATTTCATTGCGTTTACCTAACTGAGCCGTTTCGTTTTTTTCCTAGCAAAACAAATCAGTTATATCAGTTCTAAAATATATATTTTTGTGTATTTTTCAAGCCTAAAATAACAGTTTAGCTTGTAATGTGTATTTTAACTCTATGGGGTATCACATGAAGGGCGAAATACTATGGAAAAGATATCCGTATCTATCTGTAAGGCCGAGTAAACAAGCTATGTGTGTGAATTCGAACGAATTGGTCGATACGAGAGAGCGATAGCTGGCGAGCAAATAAAAAAGAGAGAGAAATAGGAAAAGCGCTGATAAGAGAGAGAAAGGATGAAAGAGCGCGAATAGTGATAAGATACGGTTATATATAAAGACTGGACGCGAAGGGTATTTATATCATATTTCTTAGTTAGTTCACGAGTTAGCTGCGTTTCAAAGCTTTCTGAAACCAAGTTATCAAAGCTATATATTTTTTGACGTTGAAGATAATGGTTCTTGCGTGTAGTCAAGAGCCAATCTGGACAGAACACAGCAGACAGAGTTATATCAAACCAGAGACAATTTCGGAATACGTTCTTGTTTCAAATCCAACGAAAATCGAGATGGCAGCATCAAGCGTATATGGAACTTTACCTCGAGCGCCGAAACTTCACCGACGCCAGATGAGCGAGGCTTCACTCCCGATAAAATATCACACCGCTCCCGATGTCAAAGAAAGAAAAAAGTCGTTTTTTGCTGGACTTGCTAATAAAATAAAATACGCCGTCGATGGTAAACCAAGCAACCAGTTTCATAGAAAACTACAATGGTCACCAAGCGAGGACATAACCAGTAGCACTGGTAACCTACACAGGGAATACTCACCAATGCCGGATCGTAAAAGCCAAGACCGACCACACAGATTATGGACCCGGGGACTTGAAAGCGTATATGCAAGCCAGCGTAAGCACTCAACATGGAAAAAACCTATTTCAACTAAAAAGGGATCTATCGCTTCGCCCGAATTTGCGAGTTGCACTTCTTCAGACTGTTCCAGTCCCACGTCTTCGGTCCCATCAAGCCCGGAAAGCCACCGATCGTTTTTAACCGGCAACGCCAAACGGGCACGCCGATCCCGTAATTCAAATAATAATGGATATATTTCGAATCGTGATAGTTTTGGAAGTCAAAGTCCAATAGAAGAAACTAAAAAATCGGCGGGAAATAAAATCCTCATCGTTGGCGCCGAAGGCGTAGGAAAATCAGGTAAAAATCTTTTCTAAACTTTATGATTACAATATACATAAATACATTGTTATAATAGTCTTTCGAATCTGCAGTTACGGCATTGTAAATCTTTTTATGGGACGTAATTGACGTTAAATGACTTTAATTTTTCCGATTATCATAGCTTCGGGCACATGGCGGCTACCCACGGCTTCTACAACCCATAAAATTTTATTGACCGTATAATATGGAATAGAAAGTCTGAGAAAAATATCATAATATTTTAAAAGTCGTAAAATAATTATTTTGGTAACGATTAGGTTTTAAAACAAATTCGTAGAAGCGGTATTTTTGTTGAAGTAATTGTGTTATCAGAATTGCAATCTGATTTCTGATTATGAGGTTATAATTAATCTTAACAGATTAAAAGGCTTTGCGCCAAATGAGTTTTATCGCCGCTAAATAGAACATGCCTACCATGGCGCATTAGCCGCGAGTGCTTCCTGCTATACCCCTATCGGCAAACAAGGGTTTCAATGAAGCGTCGCGGTTTCGCGTGCCAGTAGGAAGATAAGGGCTATTGTTTCTATATTTGCTGGACTTGCGTGAGAGCGAAATTACTGTTTACGCTAAGCCGTTACACTTAGTAACTTTCCTATTTCAAACAACCTTTACTTTCGCGATTAGCAGGCCGTGTCGTTTAAACAGACCGGACCCTTATTTTCATTCCCTTGAATTTTGTAAATTTAAAAAACCAAAACAATATTTTTTTTGTTCCACGAATAAACTTTTTAATTAGCAATACTCCCAGCTGACTTGTTTTGCGCTTTTACTAGTCATAAGACGACACGTGTATATTCAGCGCGATTTTTATTAAATTCCCGCAGCGTCTTCGTTCCGCACGCTACGCGGTTAAAAATGTTTTCACAACCCCACCGAGGGAATATTTTTTGTTGTTCGAGGAATTTCTGAGACTCACCCCACAGTGGGTTTATCCTAATATACAATTTAATTATTGGAATTGTTTTCTTCAAATATAGCTCAATTGTTAAATTGTTTGGCAGACTCCTTCGAAACACGAATATATTTTACTTACTGTAAAATAAATATTATGAAAAATTGACAATGTTTTTGCGGTTACAGTCGTAAAAATTAATCACGGAAAGACAGTGGCACTCATTTCGCGCCGTTTTATTGCACCTGTCTATACGATTGTATGCAAAACAATCGGGTAATTGATTATTCATTGTTAAACTTTACGATGTCACACAATAAAAATTGTGATATCACAATATTATTTCAAAACAAGTTTTTGAAGAGCTGAAACGAGTGCAAAGCACTCGAAATGTAAACCACTTGGAACAAGGTTGAGAATTCCATACTTTGCGCCTTGAAAACGGCGCCAAGACTTTTGCTAATATCACAAGAACATTGAAGTGTCTCACACCTTAATCGAGCATTTCGGAAATGCTTTTCGAGTACTCGTAACCACGTTTACTGCGATAGTATTTACATAACTATATGGTTGTGTACCTACTTGTTAAATATACGACTATTTTGCAAATTTCAACACGCTTTGTCAAATTTTTAAGATTTATCGGAAACTTGAATTGTATACATAAAAATATTAGGGTAAAATTTTAAAAGAATACCAAAATATATATTTACATTTTGACCATGAGTAATGAATATTCTCGAATGACTATTACGCAGTATTACTGAGTTCACTGGCTTTAAAAGCGGCATTAGATACTTATCGCTGTAATTTTAGAATTCATCGCGTGAGCTCGAGACTTGTTCGCATTTACCGCAAAAAGTTAACAAAACATTCCTAGCAGTTCGAGGGAGTCCGCGCAATGTATCTTTCGCAACTAAAGTTCATATATAAAATTTTGAATTTCGGGGCAACTATATATATCATGTAGTATACTAATTAATTTGTTAGCAATAAATACTAATAACATCATAATTTTAAATTCAATTTCTGTGCCAATGAACCAAAAGGGTTAAAGGTATAAGGTTTCGTATAGGATCACGACTTAAAGATAAACAACTACGCTAAGTCGACCGATAGCAAGAACCTGTCTATCGAGCGCAATATTCAAAACAAAGAAAAATCCGATTTACGCGCAATAAAGAAACAAAGGCCCATAAAAAGTGATCGTATGGTACAATGCCGTGACTGCACGCTATGTTAAACCATAAATAAATTTTGAGGTGGATTTTTCGTAAAGAAAAGTCATTTGTACCAAATTTATGTTTTATTTTTCTTTTCCAGCCCTCACTGTGAGATTTTTGACGAAACGATTCATCGGAGAATACGCTCCAGAAATCGGTAAGTTGAATTTCATAAAAAAATGTATATTATGATATCATATATACAATATTCAATTCCTCCCACGATCTGATTCCATTTTTTACATTCCAATCTTTGCATGGGACCAAAAAATGTTGTAATCGTATTCCGATAAGTGCAATGCATTCCTATTTATAAACGACCACATAGCTCGCCTGGTCCCCTGCACGGGTTTCTGATTATTTCCGTGGGACGATCTACGGGAGGCCATTTGAATCAATATTTACTAAGTTGTCTAACAAGATATACTGAATTCGATTTCACGAGTTGTCTGGTGGCTTTACCGGTTTGTCTTCTGCGGACGATCGTATGTTTATTACGTCATAATATTGTAATAAATTTTGTCGTCTTCTGTTTCAGAATCCATCTATGACCAAGCAATCAACCTCGACGGCAAAGACGTAAATGTTCATCTTTGGGACTCAGCGATTCCGGATATTCATCAGGTAAATTTTGCTACAAAATATTTCATTCATTTTTAATTTTTCCGTAAAATCATTTTAAATTTTTGTCACGCGAAACGCATCAAATCTAGACACGTTTTCCCCGAAATTTTAGTTTTATACCACAACGATAAAATTCTTCAGATGAAACTGTCATAAATTACAGATAATGTCAACTATGATATCAATTAAACACGACTCGTACTTGTGGTATACATTTTGGGATAAAAATCATAAATATTTCATCGCTTGACAGCAATGTCACTTAGTTTAAATTCCGACATTTTTCCGCCACGTTAAAATTATGACTTTATGTAAGACACGCAACGTAACATAGTACCTCTAGGTACACGAAAATGGAAATATAGAGTTTTCGAAAATGAAAATCTATAATTGGACTTTCGGTGACTGATACTTAACATTAATTGGTTTCTAAATTTGTCAAAATGATTCAGTGAGAACAATATTTTTTAAACCATTTAGCGATAATTTTGAAGTGACCATTTCATAAAATAATGATATATATATGAAATATAGTGTCGGGTACGTCCGAAACTTTGCAAATCTTGCTAAAAATTCCTGTGTTATCATTGAAAAGAATATACTCGATCTGGTACCTGGGACTATAATGAGGGTAATTTCAATTCTTATTCGCTTATCTGATGTTGTGGTGATCGGCGCGCAAGTCAATGCGTCAGTCAAGGTTGTTTTCTTAAGATATTTTAAGCAGAGCTAGTCACGGTTATCCCGTGGTTACATATACAATAGATACCTTTGTGTAAAATAAACTTCGCGAAGGGAATCGAAGGGAATATTTTCACACATTAATGTCGCCGGAATCATCATTTCTTATGCCATATGAGTGTGAAAACACGTATTAATCACATAATATTAACTTGTTTGTATCAACTGAATAACACGGGGGTTCATATGTATGAGAATCGTTACTAAGACTTATAAAGGGTTAATTTTTATATATCGCTCGAAGTGTATCGAATCTGCGTCTCAAGAGAGCCTTGCGTGCAGATGATGTTGATTAAAATTTTCGATAACAAAGTGTTCCTGTTGAAATTTTATAAAAAATTCAATATTTTATTGAAATTATTAATCCAATCGTCGAAATAAGAAAGCAGCCATGGTTATAAGTTATGTTACTTCTCAATACTGGATAAAAAGTCAAAGTAAAAACAACTTTAAAATGAATTGTTGTCTGAGGGAACACTGTAATTTCAGCATTAACGATATGCATGACACACAAATACGGTATTTACTCGAACTTTCCCCCAAGTTAATGAAAGTTTGAACTCAACAGTAAACAAAACCATCCGGAAATAAGGGTAACTCAATCTATGTCATGGTCCACGCGCGCAAAAACAAATTCCTTTTCGACTGGTTCGCGCTGGTATTGCATGATATTCTACAACTCAAAAAATAAAAAAATTGTAAATAAAAAATAAAAACATATTAAAAGAGCAATTAGAAAGCAACAAATAAACAAAACACGCTTTAACTGTCACTTTAATCCGATTCAGCGCGCGAAAAATTCCCGCGATTTTAAACCACTGTCAAAGGTTATATTATGACGCCATAATATGGGCGTCGATGAAGATATTCGTACTTGAAGTTGTCAAAAAGGATTCGATTTTTTCATTTCAAAATATTTTAAACCGATTTCACCCAAATATTTTAAATCTTTTACGAGAAACCTGAACCTCATATTTCATATCGTCAGATTACATGCGTTTCGTGTGACATAATGGTTGGTATTTAGTACATAACTCAATGTTTTTCATATTTGGATTCAAATTTCAAATATTGTTTTATTTTATTTTCAGAAACCACACGACGAAAGCGCAAACAGCGACAATTCTACATTATCTCAATCATCATCACTCATGTCCGTTACGTCATCAGGAGACTCTTGTCGCCTTAGCAACAGATTCTCGAGCAGTAGTCTCGAAGACGAAACTGTAGCCGCGAACAATAATACTCTTTCACGAAAGAACAAACTACGTCATACAATCAACAAAACCATTCGACGATTCCGTAGCGCGGAGGGAAGTGACGACACCGATGATGACACCATTACGTCATCAACACAAAACTTAACAGAAGCTGAACGTCGCCTCCGATGGGCCGATGCAGTAGTTGTAGTATACAGTATTTGCGACCAATCATCCTTCGAAGCTGCCCGTGACGTCATTCGTTACATCAGACAAACCGAAGCTGTTGAAATTTGCCGCCAAGGTTCGAATCTCGACCTTGCCGCATCCCGAATTCCAATTTTACTTCTTGGAAACAAGAAAGACTTAGAACACCGAAGGCGAGTGGACTCAAATGATGCCAAAAAACTTGCCTCAGCATTCGCATGTTCATTCACCGAGCTATCCGTATCCGACAGTTACGAACCAATTTCTGAAGCCATGAAAGAACATTTGAAATATGCGCGAAAAGTCGCGAAACATCGCGATGGTTTTAAGTCTAAATCACGTAAAATGAGACGGTAAATGGTTACAATGTTCAACTGTTTTTGGTTTCTACTGTGTTTTTAATTTCGTCAAAAACTTCTTTGACGTTAAATCCTAAAATTGGTGTTTTTTGACCTAAAATTTAAACAAATAATTAATATAAATGAGATTAAATATTCTTCTAGCGTTTTTATCTACTTTTCCGATTATTTTTTGTTTTTAAAAAGTTCCTGTTTGCGCTTTTTTCTGTTGAAATTTGTTTTGTGTTTTTATTCTATATAATACTGCAAACGTAGCTGTAGTCATTAATCAACACTTTAACAAGCCCTGTTTTGTTTTAAAACATTTTCAATTAATTTTTCAATAGTTGAAGAAAAAATTGAAAATTAATTTTAACACTAAACATGGAAGTATATATGACGGTTTGTTTTTCAACAAATAAAATTAATTGGTGTTTTCCCGCCAAAAGTTCATCAACTAAACATGTGATAAACATTTGGCGGGAATATATTTATATTCATGTATAATCATGTCAATTGTGCGTTATTCTTTTTTTTTTTTTAATAATAAACATTTTTGCTTGCATCAAAAATCTTACTCTTCAAAAATCCCCCCTCTCCCCCCCCCAAAAAAAAGTAGATTAATGCACACTTGACATTACTGAGTTAGAATTTATCTTTGAGTTAATTATGGTAACATGTTTGACCATACCTGAACTTCTAGTAACTTCAACTTCACCCCAATAGTCAACAACGTATGGTTACCTTGCCTGAATTCTTTCTTTCGTTGTTCTTTCTTTATATGTTGGCGTCTCCAACTGCTATGTTTTCTTTATTGGCCCGATGTTATGGTTTTTGTGGGTCGGCGATCCACTGTATACAATAAACAAAAAAGAAAAGAAATTTTACTTGTACTGTTTTGAGTTTGTGGCAGACTGGGGTAGGTAGGTGAAAATATAGGAACAACAACGCGGAAGTAGGTCAAGTTTTCTGGGATAGTAGCAGCTCTGATATGGAAAGATTATGTCCATTAGCATACCCCAAGCATGATATTATTATAATACTTTCAATATAATGTTTGCGCAATCCAGTGAAAGTTGTTTTGTTATGATTTAGATATAAAACTGGGCAAACGTTTAAAAACGTATAGGAAGTGAGATCCATCACAAAACAGGTGTTACGATGATAACTTTTTGTTTCAACAGACTCTGATCGCAATCGGTCATTTCAACCTTGACTGACGCATCAGCCTGCGCGCCGATCACCACAACATCAGATAAGCGAATATGAATCGAAAGCGAATTCCAACAAACACATTGACTAGGAAAAATTCCAACTAGTTTCATTTTGACAATATTGCGCGGAGATTGACCGTAGAATCAAGAACAGGGAGCTATGTACCCTGTCACTTGTTGCATATATGATAAAAATAAGCGTAATGAGTTTTAATTATGTAAACGTAGTGTTCTGAATCCGTGCAAATGCCCATACAACAACAGTTTTAAATTTTACAAGTTGCAAATGAATTGTAGTGAGCTATATTCTCCTTGAATCGACCGATCATGGGTGGGGAGATTAATATCGCGAGTTTAAATCAATGCTCGTCTTAGGCCATCGTACTGCATGTCCCCCCACGCATGGTTGCCACCATGTATATCCATGTCAAGGGTGAATAAAGCACAACCAGGCTATACAGCAGTCCTTTCCATATCACGTTTTTCAGAATAGAAATTCGAAACGTCAATAAATTACATCGTTTTGCTAACACAGATTGTGATTTATTTACCTTTGACTTTGTTCAACCGTTCATCAATTCGTCAGTTCGATTGGACCTTCAACATTCGGCGCTATAATAGTTAGTTTCAACGTTAAAGCTAGTTCTTCAAGCCGACCAAATAGTGTACTACAAGACATTATTGCCCTCAGCCAAAAATATAATGAAAAGATAAGAAAATTGAGCAATCTAGCAATATAGTAACGGCACGAATATGCGGATATAAGTATCAGGTTACTGCGCATGAACCGCACATGCGCACAGCTATCAAATAAAGCTTGTTTTCGTCCCTCTATGATTAAATCCTATTTACAACAAAGCATCGATTCACCAGAATTCAGCTTTAAAAAATTTCCAACCTTTTATGGCACAATGAAAACTAATAACGTTGTTACGTCACAGGGACGTGACCAATCTCTATTGTTGGGTAATAATCCAAAAATAATGTATTATTTTTTGAAAAATTCCAAGCATATTTGAAAGTATTTTAATGAAATAAACACCGGTTTCGTTTGGGGTGAATATAGGAACGTGAAAAATGTCTAGTAACACGGCGTATTTTTCAATCATCGCGAATAACGTGCCGTGGGAAGTCGGCATATTTGCGGTTGCGGACAAAAATCGAATATTGGAGACAATAGTTATCTATGTATTTAAATGGACATATGTGATATAATTCCAATTTTAGACAGATAATTAGCTAGAATTGAGATGACTAACGTTTCTTTGGTTAACAAAGAAAAGTAATAAACGAATTAGTCGAAATTAATTACATAGAGTAATGTCTGGAATCTCAAATAATACAAGGTTTCGCATATGAATACTAGGATAACATTAAGAAAACAGCAAAATGTAACTATAGGTAGTGGTTACTCGAGAGACTAAATATATTTTTTTCTCTAAGTCAGCGGTTACCAATAGGAGACCCTCGGTCCTCAAGTGTCCCACAGAGCAGTTGGAACGGGCCAGGGGGCCATGAGTGCTAAAGGGGACATGGGCCATAGAAGGTTGAGAACCGCTGCTCTATGCCTTTGTGCAAGTGAATCTGTGTGCGTATAATGCGATGATGCTGTATAGCAAGCAAAGGTGACTATTCTATTTAATTCAAAAGTCTTGCTGCACACTAGATCAAAACGTATTTGCTATTTCTCGGAACTTGATCATGCATATATTCTTTTGAAAAAGACAAAAAACTAGTTGTTTATCGTTCTATTGTTGTTGTTTTCATTACATCAAACTTTTCTGGCAATCAATGCAGGCGACGCCGATTCGTCTGATACTCGGATTAAACCAATCTCTCAATTGTTATGTCACTTTGTTCAATGGTGAAATCACAATAGAAAAGAATTAGCATTCTTGCATAACAATGCGAAGTTCCCGCAATTCGTTTCCTATAACGTATAATCTTCAGCTTAATTAAAGTGCATAATTGGTTGAAATGAATCCACAACCGATCATGTTTGACCCACTGAAAAACATATACCAATACATATGGGCCATATTTGATAATTTGTGAACAAACCTACCAATTTTCCACTTAGAACTCTCACTTTAATCTACAAATTGCACATCAAAACTCGACAAATTACTAGGATTTGAATAAAGAAACTGCTTTGAACGTTTCAATATGGAAATCCCAATTCCATATAGGGCATAATAGGTCGCGGGAGAAATGTTGGAGGCGCAATAAAGTATTTTTCGACCACTTATCATTTGTCGATGCTCTCAAGTCGCCGGTTCCTTATATGCGTATAACGGAAGAATATTGAAATACGAGTGAAGACAACTATTAACTATTATAAACGGTTCAGAAATCTTGTTTCACACTGACATGCTCAAACAAACATCCCTTCTCTATAATTGAATGTCCTGTTTCACACTGACAAAGATATATTTTTATATGCTATATAGGTATGTATATATGTAACCAAGGGCCCGCATGCTCAAATAAACATTTCTTCTCAATATTTGAATTATGCTTATATGGTAAATCTTTATACACCAAAACGTCAGACAAAGATATTTTGTGCAATATATTATCGGATTTTTGTACTCATATATTTTGATTTTCAATGTTTATTAAAATGAACTAAATTTTCGATTTTTGTAAATACAATACAAAATAAAATATTGCGCAATTCGAATCCCGCTTGGTGATTTGTTAACTCAAGGAAAAATAAAAACGCCCACTCTCAAAATCTCCCAAGCGTGGGGTTCGCGGCGGGGCCATGATAAAGAGGCAATGTTCAACTCTGTGAAAATATAAGGGTACTTCTGTACCAAGATGGTGGACACCGGAACGTAGTTTGTGTACCAGGTTAGGGTAAGGCCATAATTTCAGGTACAAATACTACGGTAGTGATTTGGCTAGTCTCCGAACTCGTAATAAAATTATAATAAGAAAAATTGGAATGATATTTAGGCCTAACTCTAACTTGGTACACATACTACAGGAGTACCAAAATAAAAATAGCATAACCTCTTCCCACAAAATACTAAATATATTTGATAATAGCTTTTGTTAGAACTACAGTCTATATTTTGTGAAAGCAGAGAACCTGTTGTTAGTAAGTTTGCTACAAAAAAGAACCCGTTCTTATTTTTGACTTCCTAGTCTGACTTCATTAACGTTTGGACCATTAGTTGGCATATTTATAAATGGGTTCAACTTAGCTCGAAAGGATGTGTACAAGCGAAAATGTGTAAAATTGCAAAAAGTAACAAAGACAGTTGTAAAATGCTTGTCTAAAAAAGTCTGACGTCGGTCAGACGAAACGTCACAGAAATATATTTGTGTTCGTGTGCAGCAAGACTCTTGAATTGACTAGAATAGTCATTTCCACTCTTGCTATAGCATCCTTGCGTTATACGCATACGGATCCATTTGCGCAAAGGCATAGAGCAAAGAAAGGTAGTTAGTTTCACTACCAGGTCCGGGTTCAGGTTGTGCGACATCTTGGGCTCATACTTCAGGAGCACCTAATTTTGTATCCCATCATTGCATACATGGTACTTTTTTGGAATGAACGCTTCATTGGGATGAGTTACGACATTTGTATCTGGGACATTTACTCAATGACGTCAACATAGCCAGGTTTGCCACAAGACATGAAAATCGAGTTCGGTATGAAAAGACCGCAAATATACAGGACGCATCGCAATTTTCAAACTGAGTACAATACAAACAAACCAATCAAACAGATGAATTGCATTCAATCGGTCTGCTTTGGCAGTTAGGAAATCAATCGACGCCATATTTGTTGATTGGACTATTTATTTCAGAGAACCATATCCGTTGAATTCTTTGTAAAATTCATTTGCAATTATTTTCCTACAAATTTACCCTATCTCGATTTTGTAACGAAATCATAGTATACTCGTACGGTTTAGTCATGTTATTGTCTGATACCAACAGAGATAAACACTGAGTAAATAAAATAAAGATAAAGTATAGTCTTTTCAATAAAAGAAACGAACATGTGACGTTTACATGCTCAAAGATTGCAGATTTTAATAAAATTATCAAACAAGTATGATTTGAATACGAGAAAGGTGACCAATCAGATGCAAGGATAATAATTTATTATGATATCACAAGTTATATATAGATTTCTTCAGTCAACAAACCAATACATTTGTTGGAAATGCAATTTGTCATAAATAATAAATAAGAATTACACAGGCGCCAAATTTGTGAATTGCCAATTGGGCGGTTGTATTGTTTCTGGTTATCCATTACAAACGAGATTGTATTTGTTTTGAACATTTGACCCAATTCAAATTGGTTGCCCATTTAGTATGAATTAGTATGGGTTCTGTCTGTGGATTTTATTTGGAGTCTTTACTCCAAACTCTGAACAAGGCTTTTTAAAGATAGCCATATACACGAATTGGTCGCCCATTTAGTATGAATTAGTGCGAGTGCTTACAAAAGAGCCTATATGTTATGAGGTGCTCTAGACGGTGACCGTACATTTGAACCCATGTACATTTGAACCCATGCGTATATCCACGGGTTCAATCTATATGCGTGTGCTAAAACCCATGGGTTAGGGTTAGTATGGGTTTAACTATCCGTGAAACAAAAAAAAATCCATAGGTGCAATAGCATACAGGTGCAATTGTCATG